TACCGTATGTACATAACAACCATCTCGTTTCTTCCATTGTCAAAATCACTTAACTATTAAAAGAATAAATACAATAAAACACAAAATAAAAACATATATGCAAAGAAATATATACTAAAAATATATATACATTAACACATTTAAACTGTAAGACATTAACATACCAGAGTCATAAATTCAAACATTGTAAATGTTGTTATGTAATTACAATGAAGACAAAAAGTTTCAGACCTGTAGCATCTTTGTCTATCCAGTCGAAGAAGATGAATACACCACAAATGACAGGGTTTCAAAATTTGAATTTCAAACAAAATGATATATCCTCCAATAAACTGAATAATAAAGTAATTTCATAAAACTAAGAGATGTTTAATGCATTAATATAATTTGAAAACAAAACCACTTTTCAAAAAATATACGTATGAATTAAGGAAGGATAAAAATGTCACAATAAATTTTGAAAAATTCAAATTATGTATTTGGACACAAATAAGAATCAAAATTAAGGGCATCTTTACTCTACATTTTTTTCTATGTACTTTTTTACAATTAACTACAATTTAATGTACCTCCTTCCAGTTTACTGAAGATTATTTGCTAGGTGCTATTTTTTTTTTCAACGGTGAATCTTCGATTAATTTCTTTTTTATGCAATCAAAAGCAGGTCATACATGTCAAAATTAGGATATTATGACTAGACCTCAAGAGTTGTCAAGATTTAAATTCAAAATATCTAAATTTACAACTTGTCTCTGTTACCACTTGAGTTATTTTGTAGAGTTTTTGCTAAGTGTTATTGAAGTTGTTGTTTGTTCATGTTCAAGTGTCCTTTTTTTAAAAAAAAAAGAAAATTTGGGTGTGTCTTCTAGGAAAATTATACAAATTCACATAGAAATTTTTTTTTTTGGGTAAGTTAAATTCATATAGAAAAATTGATACAAGTGGATGATGAAAAATCATCTTTGAAAGACAAATTAGTAGAAAGAGCTCTGCAAAAGAAAACATACTATTTATTTCAAAAAAAAAAATTTGATTTATAATAAACATTGAATGAAATAAAACATTTGATTTATTTAAAACATACTTTTTCGAAAAATCTTAAGAGTTTCATTTAAAAATCAAACTTTCTACCAATTAGTAAGAACATTCTTGTGAGGGCATAATATAATTTAAACGAACTAAACATCAACAATATTCATCCATCATAATATAATCCATCTAAAGTTGGGGTGGCAATCGGAGGCCCATGAAGTCCCCCAAAATCTGGATTCATTCAATTTATATAATAAGGTATTGACAAGTCAAATCCCTAAAGATAAACAAAATGATTTTTTTTTGTCTAATTTTCTTGATCCAAAGGCTAATATTAACTCCCTAAACTTCAGATTCCCTCCCAAATTTCATCTCTCATACTCTTTCTCTTCAATCAGCCTTCTCTCCCTCTCCCTCTCCCTCTCACACTCACGTGGACCAGAACACTCCCTCTCTAGCAATAGATACTGAGACATCAGAGCTCCTTTTCTCTCACCAACGAACCAGACGCCTCCTCTATCTTTGTCTTCTCTCTCTAGCGACCAGCCATTTTGGTGACAATGATCAGATCTCCATCGACAAAGACTAGATCTCCGTCGACAAAGACCATTCATGCCCATCCCCTTCCTTCTTCCCCAATATTTTCCCTAACTCCCATCCCCCTTGTTTTTTCTCTTCCCCCAACTCCCCTCACCTTCTCTCCTATCTGCCATCTATTATCAAAGCAAGCCAGCTACTGTCGACTCTAGGTAATCCGTGTCTCTCTCTCTCTCTATAGCCAACAGTACCACACTTCGACCCTTTTGCTACCACCGTTTAGGTATTATCAATTCTGGAACTTTTAAAAGAATTATCAGTCTTTTTGTTCTGTGTTTTGATGCCTGGCTTAATGCTCAATTATTGTTTGATTCAAAGTATGATCCTAATGTGATTCTAGAATGGAATAGAATGTANGTTGGGTGCTATTTTTTTTTTCAACGGTGAATCTTTGATTAATTTCTTTTTTATGCAATCAAAAGCAGGTCATACATGTCAAAATTAGGATATTATGACTAGACCTCAAGAGTTGTCAAAATTTAAATTCAAAATATCTAAATTTATAACTTGTCTTTGTTACCACTTGAGTTATTTTGTAGAGTTTTTGCTAAGTGTTATTGAAGTTGTTGTTTCTTCATGTTCAAGTGTCCTTTTTTTTTAAAAAAAGAAAATTTGGGTGCGTCTTCTAGGAAAATTATACAAATTCACATAGAAATTTTTTTTTTTTGGGTAAGTTAAATTCATATAGAAAAATTGATACAAGTGGATGATGNACTTTTATTTTTCGCGATTAAGAATATTTTAAATTTTATTTTAAAGTTAATCAGACGGTTAATATTAACTCCCAAAATTTAATAGGAAAAATAAGACACTTAAGGGTGTGTTTGAAGTGACTTTTCAAAAGTGTTTTTAAAACTTTTAACTTCTTATAAGCAATTTAAAAAAAAATAGTGTTTGGAACCTACCACCCCCACCCCCACCCCATCATAATTGCCACCGTTGCCACCCCACCACCACCTCTGCCACAACCACCANATTTTTATTTTTCACGATTAAGAATATTTTAAATTTTATTTTAAAGTTAATCAGACGGTTAATATTAACTCCTAAAATTTAATAGGAAAAATAAGACACTTAAGGGTGTGTTTGAAGTGACTTTTCAAAAGTCTTTTTAAAACTTTTAACTTCTTATAAGCAATTTAAAAAAAAATAGTGTTTGGAACCTACCACCACCACCCCCACCCCATCACAATTGCCACCGTCGCCACCCCACCACCACCTCTGCCACAACCACCACCTCTATCGCCCCACCACCACCATTGTCACCCCCCACCACCTCTGCTGCCACCACCATTACCATCATCGCCACCATCACCGTTGTTGCCACCCCACTACCTCCACCATCACCATTACCACTACCACTACCACTACCACCACCATCCCATCACCACCTCTACCACAACAACCCCCACCACAACCACCGTTATTGTCACCCTACCACCACTTCCACCGCCCCACCACCACCACTTTCCCACACACTACCTTTGCCACAACTACCACCTTCCACCGCCCCACCACCATCATCACCATTACTACCACTACTGCCACCTCTTCGCCACTTCTGCCACAACCACCATCATCATCACCGCTGCTGCCACCTTACCACTATCGCCATTATCCCTATCACCATCACCGCTACCACCGTCGCCGCCATCTAACCACCATCTCTGCTCCAACCACGACCACCATCAGTTGCTATCATTGTCACCCACCAACATCTTCATCATCTTATTCTTATATATAATACCACTATCACCATCATCCCACCGCCACCACCCACCATCACCATCGTTTCCCACCACCGCCCATTGCCACCCACTACCACCTCGTTGTCGCCCATTATAGTATNCTGTCGCCGCCATCTAACCACCATCTCTACTCCAACCACGACCACCATCATTTGCTATCATTGTCACCCACCAACATCATCATCATCTTATTCTTATATATAATATCACTATCACCATCATCCCACCACCATCGCCCACCGCCACCACCCACCATCACCATCGTTTCCCACCACCGCCCATTGCCATCCACTACCACCTCGTTGTCGCCCATTATAGTATCCACCCACTGTCACACCCCCCCCACCACACCTACAACCACCACCGCTATTTGCTACCACCCACCACCACTATTGCCGCAAAGCACCTATCATCGCCCATCACCACACACCCACCACCATCATCGTCCCCACCCACTACCACAACCACCACCACCATTGCTAGCCACCATCATCATTGCCCACCACCACCCACACCCATCACCACCACCGTCGTCACTCATGGTTGCCACTACCACAATCGTCATCAAAAACCCACCACCGCCATCACTGTTATCACTTACCACCCATGACTGTCATCACCACTACAATCGTTGTCGCCCACCACAATCAACACCGTTTACCACCATCACCACTGCCGCTCACCACCACTACCCTCCATCCTCACTATAACTGGTGCTTAAATTCATTTATCTCTCCTCTATGTTTGTAATTTGATTTTGAGTGTGAATACAAATATGTTTATGATTGACAATTTTTTTTATTGCACCGTGCCTTAAGACAAGGGCAATAACTAGTATATCTATATACCGAAATTTAATATCAAAAGTCATAACTTTATAATTCAATACCCAAAATAATAATCTCACTATGTAGATGGTCAAGTGTATGATTCTACCAAAGTTCTAAAGGTAAATACAAAAAGATTCCAAAAAAGATTTTTCATAATCCAAGCTTCCACAAACCTTCTATCACCTAAGCCCTAGGATGCATGCTAATTTCTGAAACTATTAGTAAGAGATGAACAACGACAACTCACTAGAATAATCATTCTTTCAAGTATGTACAAAGTTCTGATACCGACAATTCACAAATCATACGAATAAGTAAAAACAACTTTCTATCATTATGTATAAATAGATACAAGATAATATAAGTAGAACATTTATTGACAAAGAAGATCATTTCCCCCTTCTGTGAAGTTATGAGCACATTTATTAAATCAAATAATTTGATTCAAGTATACAAGAAGAAGATATCTTTATCCAAAAAACGATCTGCAAATGATGCAAATTCTACGATGAAATTTGATTCTATGGACGATTTACAAATTTTCTGGAAAGTTAATGCCTAATACCATAAGTACTTTCATCACTTCATTCCTGTACAACACGTTTTGTTCTATCAGTTCAGCATGTACCTTAAAGTCCACTGAAATTTGTTTACAATTTGACACAATGGACTTATTTTCTTTACCATTTGAAGATAATGAGCACCTTTATATCACAATATCTAATGGGATGCATTCAGAGTAAGAATTAAAAGAAAAAAAAAAAAAAAAAAAAAACAGGTGCAGACTAAGGTTTACAACAAAGATCATATCCTAAACTGACAATTTTGTGATACAAAATGAAATCAAGCACTCCAAGAATGCACCAAAACTCATGTAAGTTGTGTGCATACCAGATTTCATTTATGTGAATTTTCTATGTGCCTGGAGTGAGTGATCTCCATTTACTTCAATCCAACTCGAACCAGACATTTTCTTTACATCCCCATTCTCCATTAGTTTTCTTAACATCCTCACACCATCCCAATTGCTCGAACTAGCAAACATGTTAGATAACAATAAATAAGTCGAAGGATCTTCTTTGTCTAGAAGTAATGCGTTCTCTGCTGCACGTTTTGCAGTTTCCATGATCCCATGAAGCTGACATGCACCAAGCAAAGTCTGCCAAACTAGTACCCCTGGTTGAAATGGCATTCCAAGTATTAATTCCTCAGCCTCTTTAATATATCCAGCTCGGCCAAGGAGATTTACCATGCATGCATAATGATCTTCTCCTGGGAAGACTCCATGGTCAGAGGTCATAGAGGAGAAATATTTCCTACCTTCATCTATGAACCCTCCTTGGCTACATGCATAAAGTACGCATACGAAGGTGATATCATTAGGCTGCTCTCCCTCCTGCTTCATCTCATTGAAAATCTCAAGAGCTTTTCCGGCATTTCCATTTTGTGCATAAGCTAATATCATTGTTGTCCATGAAACAACAGAACGATCATCCATTGACTGGAAAACCCCCAAGGCACTGTCCACGCATCCACATTTGGCATACATATCGAGCAGAGCATTGTCCACACAGACATCGACATCATTCTCCAGTTTAATTCTTAAGCTGTGAAACTTCTGTCCTTCCTCCAATGACGCCAAATTGGCACAAGCATTTAGGGAAGTTGCAAGGGTAAATTTGTTTGGCTTGACACCAATCCTCCTCATTTCTCCTATGACCCAAAGTGCCTTACTTGGTTCCCCACAATTCAGACACCCTACAGCCATCTGAGTCCATGAGGGCACATCTTTCGAAGGAATTTCCTGAAATGCTTTGAAACCATCAATTAGGTTCTGATTTTTCAAGTACATATCGACCAAAGAATTCCCCACACACATCTCACTTCCATACCCAGACTTCACAAGTCGTGAATGAACTTGCATGCCCAGTTTTAGATAATTAAGCTCTGCCAACCCAGTGAGAACACTAGCAAAAGTAAAACCATCTGGTTTCATACCTTCACAGATCATCCTACACCAAAATCCCGGTACATCTGAATAAGAAAACTGCAAGTACCCTGCCATCATCGCATTCCATGACACAGTATCTTTATTCAAACACTTCTCAAAAATCTCCAAAGCTTCATCCAATTTACAATGCCGTATTAGCGCCGTTAAAAATGCATTGACTAAGAAGATATTAGATTCAAATCCAAGTTGAACAATCAAAGCGTAGATTTGGTATGCAGAGGTAATGTTATCGGACAAAGAGCAAGCCTGGAGAGCGCTAACGAAGGTGAACTCGTTGGGCTTCACTCCAGTCTGGTGCATGCGGTAGAAGAGAGAAAGAGCTTCAACGGGAAAACCCATTTGAACAAAGCCTGCAATGAGGGCTGTCCACGACACTACGTTCCTTTGGGGCATTTCGTCGAACAGTTGGACACCATTCACAAGATCACCACATTTCACGTACATATTAAGAAGATGGTTCTGGAGATATAGGGAATGAAGAAGGGCTTCTTTGATCAACTTGGCTTGTACTGATTTTCCGCTGTGTAAGTCAGAAGTTTCGACGCATTTCTGTAGCATGTGAGAGTAAGTTCGTTCTTCATTCTCTACAGCCAAGTTGTTGTGTGAGTATTCTGAAGTTGATGTTGTAATATAAGACCTAATTGAGTGGAAAGAAATTGCAAATGGAAGTGGCAGCTTGTTGAGTTGTCTGAGCATCTGTGTTTTTGTGCAGGCTTCATTGCAGGTTTGACAGTTTGAATTCTTCTCATGTGAGTTGATAATTATTGAAAGAACTGGGGCAGGAAAATAAGTTCTTAAGATTTTGGAAAAATTAGAAGGAGAGCCTTCTGTTTTGTGCTAATTTTACTAGAATCCTGGTTCTGAAATTATATTAACGCCCCTTTAGATGTGAGAATATGTAAGAGTCCCCCTTAACTAACCGACCGTTAAACAACAACTTTGTTCATATAAGCTCGCTAGCAATAACCCGTGCCTGAAAAGACTCTATAATATTAAAAATTAAACAATAATTATGTGATATTTTATTTTTTAAATAACAACTTTATTTTTACTTTTATTTTTTTAATTATGTAATTTAAAATTAAAATAAACTGAGAGAAAATAAGNCACTAGCAATAACCCGTGCCTGAAAAGACTCTATAATATTAAAAATTGAACAATAATTATGTGATATTTTATTTTTTAAATAACAACTTTATTTTTACTTTTATTTTTTTAATTATGTAATTTAAAATTAAAATAAACTGAGAGAAAATAAGATAAAGGTAGAAAAGAGATATCAAAGAGGTAGGTGTGGATTAATGAAATTATTTGACATTAAGGAGTGTGTTGGTTGAATTATCTGATGTTAGACCCGGGTAAAAAAGATGATGTTTTTTAGCAGAAAAATAAAATTGGGAATAAATTTTTGGATCAAAGTAGATGAAAATAAAATCAATCATAATCGTTATTATGTTTTTATAAGNATTTGGGGATAAATTTTTGGATCAAAGTAGATGAAAATAAAATTAATCATAATCGTTATTGTGTTTTTATAAGTTAAAAATTTAACTTCTTAACTGTAATATTAGATAAATATCATCACATAAACTCCGTCGTTACCAAAAAAAAAAAAACTTTGACCGTTGGATTCCTTTCCCGATCTAGAAAACACTTTTGAGTCGTTGGATTCATTATTTATATTTTTTAATAAGGGTAAATTTACTATATTTTGAAGTATTAAGAGTTGAGGCATATTTCTATGTCAAACCACTCACAATAATCTATAATTTATCCTACAACATTAAATTCTTCAGTAAACTTGGGAACTACATAACAAAAAAATGAAGACAAAAAAGGAACAATAATGCTAATTGGAAATCTGATAGAAGTATAAAAAATTCAGGTTCAAGAGCTTGATGGAAGATGCTGACAATTCTTGCTTGGGAAATGCTGTGCTTGCTAAAAGAGTAACCAAATTAAGGTAGATGATTGAATTAGTCGGTCCTATAGTACTTTTTGGTAAGCATGCAGACCAAGTGGGATAGCCTGGTTGGCCATGGCCTCTGACTTCCAGCAGGAGGTAGGGGTTCAAAGTTCTTTGGGCGCAAAAAGCGTTTGATAAGACAAGAACTTAGATGAATCGTATCTAAATTATTTGTATGAGTCTTGAGTCCCCAACGAAACTTAAGTTTTAATTTAAATAGTATAAGAGTTAAGGGACTGATTCATACACCTGATCTTTGTTCTTGATTTTATTCAGAATTACGAACTTGAGCGACATAGTGCGTCTTTATTTGACGAGCACAATCCATAAAATTTTTCCATTTACCGAAAAAGCATAACTGCTGTTCTTTCTTTGTGTCATGCAATCAGTTGGTCATTCACAAGTTTCTTGCTTATTGGCACTTATGGAATAGTTTCATGGTTTAGTTCTTGCAGTTTATAATTGCTTTTCTCATCTTTCTTATGGTGTACAATTGTCGGAGGATGATGACATTCAATTGAGGAATATCTACCGTACCGTCGGCTGTATCAGTACTAAAAATTATAATTTTTTAAGATTAAATTATAATNATGGCCTCTGACTTCCAGCAGGAGGTAGGGGTTCAAAGTTCTTTGGACGCAAAAAGCGTATGATAAGATAAGATCTTAGATGAATCGTATCTAAATTATTTGTATGAGTCTTGAGTCCCCAACGAAACTTAAGTCTTAATTTAAATAGTATATGAGTTAAGGGACCGATTCATACATCTGATCTTTGTTCTTGATTTTATTCAGAATTACGAACTTGAGCGACATAGTGCGTCTTTATTTGACGAGCACAATCCATAAAATTTTTCCATTTACCGAAAAAGCATAACTGCTGTTCTTTCTTTGTGTCATGCAATCAGTTGGTCATTCACAAGTTTCTTGCTTATTGGCACTTATGGAATAGTTTCATGGTTTAGTTCTTGCAGTTTATAATTGCTTTTCTCATCTTTCTTATGGTGTACAATTGTCGGAGGATGATGACATTCAATTGAGGAATATCTACCGTACCGTCGGCTGTATCAGTACTAAAAATTATAATTTTTTAAGATTAAATTATAATTTTTTTAAGGCATTTTACAAATAAAGGGTATAATCGATCATGAAATGTTAAAATTGATATAATATTTTTTCATGATCAATCATGATTGCATGTGATCAATCATTACCTCTCTTGAACAGTTACAGTTGTAACTTCTACTTTCAAAGTTATGACTTTACCGGACAAAATAATAACTGACTATATATGATACCAATTTTTTTTTGGCCGAAACAGTAGAGTATTGAACCACTGAATCTGGTGAGATCAGGCAGATTGTCAGAAATGTAATTAAGCAGAACATAGTAGTATGTCTACCAGCAAAATTACTGCAAAGAGTCCAGCTATGGTACCAAAAAAATAATTTTTTGATACCATACCTCCACCTTTCATCCAATAAAAACTTGACATGTGGGAAGTTTTTTTTTTTTTTTTAAAATTTTAGTATTATTCATTATCTAGTTGTAAATCATCCAAACCAAAATCAGCGGATAGGATGTTTTCGATACCAAATCAGTACTGTAGACTTAGCCTTGTGGTTTCTGCAAAATACTCAAAGTGAACAAACAAAAAAAATGGTACAAGAAGGTTACTGGCAAAAGATAATATGCATTTCATAAATCTGAAGAGCTGTTCTTGGTAAAAACAATCCATTTTTAGAGCTTACTTGCATCTTTCATTAGTGTATCCCTGTACAAACTTAACAAAACAGCCTACAACTGCTAGTCCTACAAAAATCTAACCCCCTGGGAAGAAACAAGCATAAAAAAAATTAGGGAGAATAGATCAACTAAACCCAAAATCAAAAACATCGGTTAAGAGCATCTAAGAGGAATGGCTATTTCCTATGCCCGACCCAACGGAACTAGACTCATGGTATAAGGAAGCACTATGGGAGAAAAATATGAGTTTGACCCCAAAGCAGAAAGGGAGCAGACCTTTTTCATCTTCCCTGTTTCAATCTGACATAAGTAGATATCTGCTGACACCCTCATAAACAACATACCATCTTTGAAGGCCAAAGGGTTCATCCATGGCGCCCTGTCAATGGTCACCCGACTCGCCACTCTCTCAGGTAAGTGATAGAAGTACTGGGAATTTTCTTCCTCCAACTTTTCCAGAGATATTGAATATCTGAACTCCCATTGAGACGCAAAGTGATCCTCAAGAACCCACAGTTGGAGCCCATCTTCAGAGATCAAGACGTAATGCAGCCTGCCTTCAGATTCCCCGATGCACATTTCAGGGATTGTCTTGAACTGAGTGGAAGGTAGTGGTACCATAATCAGCAAAGCAAGCTCATTTTCAAGATCAAACATGAGGATTTGGTCACCATCAGTTAGCCAATAAAGAACCCCTCCTATAAAGATCCCTTTGTTTTTGAACAAATTATGGTTGCACTGGCAGATTTCCACTGATTTCCTCCATACCCCCATTGCTGAAGAATATATATCAAATGAAAAGTGGTAATCATCAGCATCAGTATCAGTCTCAGTTTGACAAACTGTAACCACTCTGAAATTTGTAGAAACATCTAGGAGATCCCGAAAAGGGTCAAAAGCCAAGGCCAGGCTGCTCCCTTTGTCAGGAGCAGGCCATTGCAGACTCACCCATTCCTTATTCAAGGGGTTGCAGACATAAATTGCCGGCTGTGGAGAGGGGAAGCAACTTCGACAACAGATTAGGCCATTGCTTGAGGCCAAGATAACAACACTTTCAGGTAGGAAGTCCAGAATTGTGCATTGCACGTCAGCTTCTCCCCTTTCAACAGGTATATAGCTAATTGCTTTGATATCATCATCGCACCATTGGAACCTCTCCTGGAAGAAGAAACCTGATAATTGTTCAGCCCTTTTCACCAGAAGAGGTAGGATAGAGCAATCTGAGATAAGACTATGAAATTCCTTTGAAACACACTTGAGGCTAAGCAAAGCTTTAGTAGGCAATCGGGATAGCACATCAATTGGAATATCATTGTTCTGGAACCAAAGTTCATCCATTTCCTACAATCCAGCAAGAAGAGATTAACAACCAAATTATAAACTTAGAACAGAAATACTGGTTTAAAAATGCGAGGAAATGTGACGACAAACGTAAGCTATAGAAGACAGAAGCACACAGTATACGGTTATCCTCTACAACATAGCAATTTGTCTTGAAGGTAGGGCTTATGCTTTGAAGCACCGAAAGGGAGTCTTAGGACGACATGACAAATAATAATGCACCAACCTCTAGCATCACCAGAGTCACGGTAGAAATGATCGTAGCAAGTTTTAGTGACATAAAAAAAAAAAAAATTAAGACGACTATAACAGTAACATGCAAGAAAGACTTTCTTCTGTGCAATCTATCTTCACATAATAAGAATTATGGAGGCATATCTAATCCATTTATTATAGTTCATTGTCTTTGTTAAATGTTTATAAACTTGAAAAAGGATTTTCAAGAGACAAAGTAATGTAGGGGTGAGCTAGATGGTAGCAAGGATCTGCAGGGGCAAGCCCAATGGTAGCAAGGCTTCAACTTCGAACACCTGTCGTTTGACCTTCATCTAGCATTCTACTAGCTCCACTCCCCCCCCCCCAAAAAAAAAAAAAAAAAAAAACAAAAAAAAAAAAAAAAAAAAACCAAAAAAAAAAAAAAAAAAAAAAA